TTTTCACTGATAAAAACTGTATTTGTTCAGTTTACCAATGCTTATACACTGATAAACAACATTTATTCAACATAATTATACAAGATATCTGTCAGTTAACAAACTAATCCATGTAAAATTACACTAATTTTACATTAATTTAAATATATTAACAGTAATAAACTTTAATTTAACAGTTTAATCTATTAAATAAACAGTAAATATCTGTGAAGATTTTAGATTTGCAAAAAATCTTTTTATGTGAAAAAAGGACATTTTCTTTAAATAAGCAGCAATTTGATGTTTCTTTACAGTTACAGGTTTATTTTACATTAGACATGTAAATTCACTGGATATTTTTGTCATTTTATTAATATTAATAATTAAAACATACAGTAAACTTATAGATATATATTTGTTTTACAGTGTAGTCGAGCCCATACATGCTGCAGTATCACTCTGAGATACCGTGAACACTGCTGACTGTAGTTTCACTCACAGAGATGTCCTTCTGAACCTTCTCGTACGCCAGCGTGACGGCGGCGCGGTGGTCGGGTGGAGACGGCGTCAGACTGAAGCTGTATGTCGAAGAGGTTTCTGTCTCAGTCAGCGCCTGCTGGAGGTCCTGGACGTACCGCTCCGTCTCCATCTCCAGCTCCTCTGCCTCAGCACACACTGCTGCTTCACTCACTACAAAGAAATAACAGAATATAGAAAACAGTTATTCTCTATACAGACACAGAGTGACAATGTGGGCGTCCTCCCTCTCTCTGGCCTTGTTGTTGTATGCGCTGCCTCTATGTAGGTTTGATTTCCATAGCCGGACTGCCTCCGAACTCGGAAACTGCTGTTATATCTACGTTCACGGTGAATTAAGGATTTATTTCCACCAAACCAGAGTTGGTGATCGTTGGAAAGTCTTAAAAAGACAGTTTTGGTGAGTTTATTGTATTTCTGTCCAGTTTGAAGTTGTTTTATTATTATATGCAAGGTAAAATAACAGTAGAAATAGAAAGCAAGCATGAAATGAAAAGAAAAGACTCAAATTTGTACTAAAGTTTATACTTTAATGTACTTATACTGAACAGTTTTATTACGGACTGCAGTCCTGGTGTCTAAAAACTAATAAATCTAAAAACTAATAAATCTAAAAACTAATAAATCTAATAAACTAATAAATCTTCCTCTGAGTGAAACTGTCCGAGCAGTTGAAAAGGTCGGCGGCGCGCCCTGAAACGTTCCAGGTGAAGTGATAAAGGTGTGTGTGTGTGTGTGTGTGTGGTCGAACAGGTGAGGCCGTCCACATATCAGGTGAGCATAAATCTGTCAGGTCAGTCACGCGACACGCTGTGAGGTCACGCCGGGTGAGGTTTTTTACCGTCTCCTCTCCAGGCGTCCCGTCCATCAGTCAGCAGCAGCTGGAAGCCTGAACCCAAGCCCCGCCCCCTCCAGTCCACACGCAGGAAGTAGGAGGAGTCAGGCTCCGACGAGGTGAGGAGTTCACGCACCGACGTGTTCATCTCTGCAGACGACACCAGAAACACAAAAACACAAAGTCAGAGGACTGAAGCTTTTACACCTACCGTTCAATGATCAACATATAAGGCTAATATATACATATACATATATATATAATAATATAACAATATGTTAGCTTTGACTTTAGTCAAGTTATAGAACTGTAATAAAAGTCATTATCTGTGAAATTACAGTAATTATTGCTGTTTTTACTGATAAACAACATTTATTCAACGTTTTTGTTGTGAAAACTTCCACAATTATACAAGATATCCGTCACTTAACAAACAAATCCATGTAAAATTAAAGATAAAAATTCAATGTGGTGGCCAGAGGGTTGTATGGAGGCTTTAAGGTGGCAGAAAGATTTAAAGGGCCAGTGTGCAGGATTTAGTGGCATCTAGTGGTGAAGTTGCAGATTGCAACCAACTAAATTCCGATTGCCTTCCAAAGGTATAAAAAGAGAAAAAAACTACAGTGGTTGCAAAACTATCTACAGTCAGTGTTTGGTTTGTCCTTCCTGGGCTACTGTAGAAACATGGTGGTTCAACATGGCAGTGGCTGAGGACCCGCTTCCTCTGTACAAAAAAACATTCTTATTTTCAGGTGATTATATTATATTCTATGACTCATGCAAACAATCACATTTATCAATATTTGCTTGGAAAAAAAATAAAGATATTTGAACTCTAAACTTTAATCATATCACTTAATAACAGATTATTACATTAATGTCTGTTTATTAACATGTTATTTTTTAAATTAATGTGTTAAATTTGACAGCAAACTCCTCTACAGTAGTTTATAAAGGTCTTGATTGACTTTAATTGGACTACAAACTAAAAAAAGACCATCACTTTTTTTGTTAAAACAGAGATATTCCACCCTAAAACTCTTTTTTTAAGGATTATATTATAATTATTGGGGTAGATAAATAATGTTTTAAACATATAATGGTTGAATATAACCTCAATGAGATGTGGTTGTTGTATGGGTGCAGTGCTCCTGACGTCCACCAGGTGGTGCTTCAGTCTGTCATTTCAACCCGTCATGCTGCACAAAAAGAAATATTTGTAGTTTCTTTTTCCAAACATGAAATCTGAAGAATGTCCTTTACACAGATGTTTCCTCACATGTGGCTGAGCTGCACTTTGGGAAATGATTATTTATGTTGGTGAAGTCACTTACTACCACATGAAGCAACCACATGAAGGCCGAGAGAGCTGAGTTACAAACGTTTGTCTTTACGGCTGCTTCTGTAAAACAGTGAGAGCAGAGTTTAACTGCGGTAGCTGCTCGACGTGGAGCTCATTTTAGAGTTGGTTCTGTGTTTAAAATGTTAAATCTGTCAGATAAATATAGTAGAAAGAAGTCGAATATTTCCTTCTGAATTGCAGTAAAATAATATAAAATGTCGTCCTAAGCACAGTAAATAATCATCATAATAATATATATTAAGATATTTTTACATACAGTTACTTTTTATATATTTTTGTACTTTTTCCAACAGCAGAAAAATATCTAAACTCACATTTCGTAGAAGATGTAGTTTAGTTTATTCTAATGGACGCTTTATCCTCTATGATAGACCTGAGAGTGTGTGTGTGTGTGTGTGTGTGTGTACAGGTGTGTGTGTGAGAGAGAGAGAGAGAGAGTGAATGAAAACCCAGATAATCCTCCATTAAGCGGAGGGATTAGCAGCTGGGACAGTGACAGTTGGATTAAAATGAACTGCTTCGTGTGGAAAAAGCAGAATGAATACACCTTCGTCACACTGCAGGTGGTTACCACAGCGACAGGGTTCAGAGTTCATATATATATATATATATATATATGCACAGGATATTGTAAATGTACACAAATATACACTGATGCAGAGAGGAAGGTGACATATATAGTCACATAGTTACAGTATTTTTCAGGAGTTTTTACTTTTATTTCATTTTTAATTTTTGTTTCCAATTCAGTTTAGTTTCAGTTAATTAGTTTCATTAGTAACAGTTGTGTTCACCAAACTATTTCATGTCGGCACTCACGTTAATCTACATCAATCCTCAGCTAAAGCTAGTTTGTTAACATTTTACTACAAAGTAAACCACTTGCTAACTAGTTAGTTAATCTACACCAGTCTTTAGCTAGTTAGTTTCCAGAATTGTCATAGTTTTGTTTTTCAGTATTTTTTATTTTATTTCATTTTTTAATTTTTGTTGCCAATTCAGTTTAGCTTCAGTTAATTTCCAGAGCATGTTTGTTGTTTCAGTTGAGTTTTTATTAGTTTCTGTAGGTCTGTTAGTCAAATGTATTCATTTTTTTATTATAATAATGTAAAGAAAGTGTTTTTAGAGAGTTCAAGCTCAACTGTTATTGGAGCACAAAGCAAAAAGGGGCGGGACTTAGGAAAGGTACATTTATATATAACACAGATAGTAAAATGTATTTATTTCATGTGTACATCCTTTAAAAAAGAGCTTTTGTGAAATAATAGTGTTTAAAAAACAAACAGAAACTACAAAAGAACTGAACACAGGATAAACTAATACCTGCACACAGTGAAGTGAAGCTGTAGCTTTAAACCCGTCCTCAGCCCTGTGTGTCGCACTGACCCTGTGGTCTGATGGATAAACCCTCATTGAAATGCATGCTGGGATTGCTGTTAGCGGGGCTGCTGACGGAGGTTAACTCCATGATAAACACAGAAGCCCAGGAGACGCCCCGGCTCTCCTCATCATCATATTTTAATTAGATGGGACAGCTTTAATTAAAACTGAATCATTTAATGGGTTTTGTAATTAAAACAGAGTCAGATGGCGGCTGGTCGGTTCGGGACCGGCACAGCCTCCCCTCCCTCTGACCCAGGTCAATTTATTAACACTGATTAAACTTTCATCAACCAATCAGGGCTTTCTGAATTCTGGAGGTAAACATCCCGTTTATCTTCTCCACCGGTGTTCAGGAAGTCCTGCTGGGAAGTCTTCAAGTTCTGAGACAGATCGACACTTTACAGCTAGAGCTCGTATTTAAAAGTCTGACCAGAAAGGGTTAATATTTCTGGCTTTGTGCGTCCAGGTTTTAAGATTTCGGTCTCAATACAATAAAGAAAATGTTCTCTGGTTCTCTTATCTTCTGTGGACTGGGTTTATTGGGACTATTTTCTACAAATAGTGGCTTAAAATTATTAATATTTTATATATTAAATATTTCTGGTGCCACTGTTTGTTTTCTTTTCTGTATAAATTCAGATTTTCTTGTGTATTGCCTTGAAAACAGTACTTAGAACTATTACTGTTCACACGACTACGTTTTTTTGCATTAAATGGGAATCTTTTGTTGTGTTTGGCCTTTCGTTCACACACAAAAACACAGTTTTGGGAGCCTGAAAATGCAAAACCCCACCGTTTGCCATTGCCATGGTAACTGAAAATACATATTTTTATCTGTGACAATAAGGCAGAACTATTACGTTTTCAGCCAAATAGACCAAGTGGTCCAGGTGTAGGTTCGATCCAGGTCAGTGTTCAGGTCAAGGTCCAGGTCCAGCAGAGGGTCGGCTGTGTTTGCGCCTGGGCTTCATACAACACCACAGAGGTTTGAGTGATAATGATGGTGAGTCGATCTGAGTGCTTGAGCTGTGACATGGAAAACATGGACAAGTTAGAGATCCTCATCTTCACTATGAGCTATTGGTCGTTGTGTCATGTTCCCACCAGCCGAGGCTTGTTTAGAGGAGGGACTCCCTCCTCTCATGTCCTCACATCTGACTTCATGCCTGCTGACTCACATCCACATCAGCTCACACACATTTGATCTGAGAGGAAAACAACTCATTCATGTGCACATCAACTGAAATCATCTATTCCATCATTTCCTGTAAGTAAGAATCAGC